CTAATCCAAGCAGATGTCAATGAAAAATTTTTCCAAATGAAAAAGCACTTATGGAAACGTTAAAAGGATGACATTAATGGGAAAAAGTGCAAGTTTTGCAGATCGGAAGTTGCAGAATACCGCAATCATCTTGATGGAAAATAGTGAATAATCTGTAGGTCTGTCAGTCCTATTTTGATAAAGCTTCACTCTCTTTTGAGAACTGAAAACGTTACTGCAATGAGAATTTATGTGATGCATTGTACTGTTTAACTAGATACTTTGTGGTTCATTGGTAGAGCGAGATGGGAAATTACCTTAGACCAGTTTCGAGCATTATACCGGCCACTCCGAATTAGTTTTTTCTGCAGTTTTCTTAATTCTGGAGTAGTATAGAACAACTTAAGACCTTCTATAAAGGCACCTCTAAAAAGCATTATGCGGGTCACTATGTAATTGGACGCAAGCCTATTGAGGGCCCAGAACAAGAGAGGAATTATAAATAAATAAATAAACCGCAATGGAACACTTGGTAGATGTCTATGTTAGCAGCAAGATTAATTTCTACCAATCCAGTGTATTTGGTTAAAGCACGGCGGATTTCACAATTACCAATAGGAAATAACACCACCGTATGGCCACACTGTCTTTATAGAGTCATTGTATGGTAGAGTAGTGACCAGCACCCCGCGGTTCCGCGTTTGTTTTTCAAATGTCACTAAGATCTTAAAACGGTTTCTACTAAAATTTCTTGTGTACCTAAAGATAAACCTTTACTTTGAAAAACAGTACAAATAAATACAAAAAAAAACTTCGAGACCAAACGCGAGTCTTGCGCTCTTGCCGAGACTCATGATTCGTCTTGCCTGAGACGAGACGAGACTAACTCTAGCCAAATTCGTTTTCAGCCATTTAACCAAAAAAATCCGTCCACAAATAAGAAAGTTAGCACTGCGAATGCACAACCTAGTCCGAACGATCTTCGAGATCTTCATGCATCCATCAATTTTACAACACACCTTAAGGGGTCGATTCTGTCCCTCCAGACTTGTAAAATAAATTTTTTAATTCGGTATTCGAGGTGCCTATATGTTTCATTTAAATATCTCAACACGTCAAAAAATTGGATTGCGCAGGTACCCACGCTGGGTTGCGCATGCGCAATTTTTTTTAATTCGTCTGCATAGCTGCTTGATATTTAAGGAATATTTACTAACACAGAAAACCGTACATTCATATGTTCTTTGTAACAAGAATGATAAACCAATCCTATTTTTTTGGAGGTTTGGGCTGTATCTTTTTGACCCGTTAGTATACGTAGCTGAAAAACAATAGCGACCTTTCTTATATCCTTCAGAACATGCGTACCAATTTTCAAAGCGATCCGACGTTTCTAAACGTAAACTGTAAAATTATGGTACATCATAAAATTTTTTTACTATACTTTTACTATAACTTTTTTAGTAATAAACCCAGAAAAAATTCCTTTCTTGGTGCAAGCCTCGACGCCATAACGAACCAAACAGCGAAAAAAGTACTCGTAGAACAATAGCTATTAAGATAAAGATCTAGTAGCGACCAGGCGGAGGGGCGGACAGATAGACGGACAAAGTGGCCGCAATAGCGCATTTTTTAAATTTTTGTGGAAATGCGCTAAAAAAGTGAGTACTCACAATATGCCCACGAAATATCCACGATTAAATTGGTCCAACGGAACGCAAATACTGACGAATCTTCACTCGTAGCTTTTTAACAAATTCACTTTTTTTTTATTTGACACTTGTACTTGAGTTACGCACACATTCAAAAATTCACCCGAATATCCGCGGCACCGCTTATTTAAGTGATCGACACCTCCACTCTAATTTTCTCGCCTCTCTAATAATCGACGAAGAACTAACAAGTAACTACGTCTCCAAATTGATGCCCATCTGTGTCGCTTATCAATGCAGAAGTCGTGTTATCGAGATTAGCCAATTAATTTGTCCGATAACAGGTTTTATACGCAAGTGTCCAGATAAGACTTATTTCTTACTTCGTTTTAAAAAAAATGTTACCTAATTTTTGCGTTCCTCGAACCCTTATTCGGAGGCAATAACAAACAAACGCCCAACTACTTGTACAAATTCATGATTCACAATACAAAGAGAAAAAAAATTCGTTAAGCCACTTGTGAGCAAGAAGCGAGGAGCGCACTTTCAAATTTGTTGTTTCGATTTTAATAGCCCTATGCCTGAGAATACAAACATGAAATAATTTTTAATTTCTGATCGAATGACACCAATACCAAGTCAGTAAGTGGTCCAGTTCCGAAGCCTTTGTGACTCAGACAGACAGACATATCAAGAGCGCAAAAATACACTTTTTTATTGAAAGTGCATTAAAAATATACATTACAATGATCATCAAATAAAATTCTGAAATTGTCTACTGACAAAATGTCCCTCAGGTCCTAAATAAAGTAAATTACAACATTGTACAGGATACTCCATTTGAAACCTCCAATGTGAAACCCACAGCACGTAAATCCTCAACTATAAGATGGCTCGCTCTCATCGTTGGCATTATTTCAACCTAGACAACAACACCCCCTGCAGTTTACACAACAGCATATTAGTAGACTACTAAAATATACTCCTTGTGCCAAGGGTAGAAACAATTCCTCGCACATTCCCCTTATACAAGATTTGTGGAAATGATTTCAAAAACAGTTCTAAGGACTTTCAGAGCCAAACAATGCCTTATGTTTTCGAAGATGCCTTCTAAGAGAATTATTTAGCATTTTGTGAAAATCATAGAACATTTTTAACATTCCTGGGAAGTCTAGCTCTAGAAAGATTTCGCAATTGATTCTTACAAAATTTCTTTAGAAATTCTTGTAAGTAATGAGTTCTAGAAAATGCTTAATGTTTCTGACCTCAGGTCTCAAGGAAATTTCTAGCAAAATTTTGTAAGTAGAATTGGTGAAATCGTCAAGAAGATCTCTTAAGAAAATTCTGAAAGGAAAATTTCCAGAATATTACGATCTCGTTTCGTAAAAATCCAATATGGCGCCCCTAAGAAATAAGAAAGTAGTACCCTGTTGCTCGTACTACATCTAGCGTGCTATGGAAATTCTGATAACAAATTCTCCGAAAAAAGTGCTTATAGGGGGTGCTAACGGGAACCGCCGATTTCCGACCGTTTGAGCTTAAAAAAAATGACAACAGAATTTCACATTTTCAGTTTCTCGGTGATAACTCAGATATTATCAAAGATTTTTCAAAAATCTCAAATGTGTTTTTTGTAGTCACAAAAAGAGTTAACTTTGCCCCCAATTTAACCTAGATTGTATCTCACCGTTGCGGAGTTCCCAATGGTGCGAATTTGAATCACCCTGTACATACTTTAATATTTTTATCCTACGACGGTGTCATTATGACAGATTTAACATGGCCACTTGGATGTCATTATGGCTTTCATAATAGCACTAGTACTTAGTCCAGTAAAATTAACCCTGAAAGTGAGTACCTCAAAGTGCCAGGGGGAAAGCTGCAAATTGTTTTAAAATCTAAGACAAATAAAAAACAAGTACAAAATGTGCAGAACTCTTGTGTAGATACAACGCATTTGCTATAGTCTTTATCAATGGATTTTGTTAAAAAAAACTGGGTGATGTTGCTTCCCTTCTTATAAATGGCTGGTGGAGTTAGAGCCATTTGAAACACTGCAGGATCAACATCTTCTCCAGCAACAGCAAACACTGGATTGTCTGCAGCTTTATCAATTGCAGTGCGTGTAATTGTACATTCAGCATCATTTGCGGGGGTTTGGCACCGCAGGGGCGGGGGGGGGGGGGCTAGGGTGCCACGAGCTACATCGCTTACTAGGCGGTGCGAGGGCAAGGTAAACAATGAACGGAACACGTGGTGCGCTGATGTCTGCTTGCAATCCATGTACAGACATAATTGGTAGAAAATTTAATGTAGATAATTAATGTAGAAGTAATTAATTTATTATGTAAGACGATAAAAGGATATTTTAACCATAATAGTGAATTAACTTTCACGAGATGGTTAGTTTACCTTTATCGTCGTGTATAATACAAAACACATTGCATTGTCATCTTCTGAACGTCATTTTATATCGTGCTCCGCGTCCCATTTCTGATCGACAATTCTTAGGCTAATTTTTTTATACTAATGAGTTACAAACAAATTTGAAAAATACTGTTTGTGGCAGGCTAGTGACTAGCAACTCTGTTTATCGATAATCTTTCATGACATAGCATGGAATTTTCACTAATCAAAGCACTAATTACGGCACAACAAAACGCGACGTATGCACAATGTTTATCTTATTTGTCGCACATCCACACAACGATTGTTTCGATATATATGACATTTCATTTTCAACTTCGTATACAAACACAGGCCACGAGCTATTACATTCAAATCGACCACCGACAACATCGAACTAGGTTTTGTTCGAAAATTTAGTTTTTAACTCATTCTGTGTCGTGATATAATAAGGTCGTTTCGAAATGAACTTTTTTCAACTTTATTTTCATTCAAACATTTTCGCTTATGAATAGAATAATTCGATAATGCCCGGAAGTTTAAGTTAAAAAATTCGCGGAATGTATTTTCCAAATTTTACTTTTCTTTTTCGCGACACAATGGCCGGAAAAGTATAGGTATGAAAATTTAAAACAAAATTTATTTGTACGGGAATAAAAGCAGAAAACTGTTTAATCAGTTTAAGAATTAGAATTGAGTCTGAATGTAAATTTGCGAAACGAGTTTTAAAACTCACTTTTTGAGGATTTTTTCGGCGCGGTGAAACCCTTCGCCGCGAGCTTTTTTATTTGACACGCTTCGAAGGGAAATAAATTCGCCCAATTAAAGGTATGCTTGCGCGATTATAGTGTATAATTGCTTTTTGCTAATTAGCGGTTGAAGGTGTACTTTGATCTTGTAGTTAATAAAGTGTTTGTTCTAATTAGTTTTGTCAAATTTCTAATTTCCCCGTTTTTGTTTCAGAGAGGCAGTGACGAGCTACTGTCGCAATCAAACGTGTCGGTTATGGCTCCCTCCGCACCAAACAATCATGCCGATAACAATAATCAAGAAAATGCCAAAAAGGTAGGTTGGAGTTTACTGTTGAGCTTACCGATTTCGACGTTTTGTGCATGTGACATACGCAACTGACACGAAATTGAGATATAAAAACAAAGCGCGCGTTAAGTATCTTACGCCGGGAGGCGAAAGAATAAGGAAAGTGAAGAAATTATTGGGAAACTGTCATGTGTATATAAACTTGGTCTTTATCTTAGGTGACTGGCAAACTGCGTGGTAACATTATATATTATTTTTTCGTTTAATTTTTTATTTTTCGATAAGCATATAAAACGCAATTTTCCACCCCTTCCAATACTACTGGCAATTTCGAGAACTACTCACTTTGAAATTAACACTTGATATGAGGTGATACTGGCGACAACAATGATCAATCATGCAGAAGTGGAATACTTTTTAAGTATCCTAAAATATCTCCTTCGTGAATTTTCATCTCGGTGGAAAGTACGTCCTTTTCAGAAATAATAAATTCTTTGATGTCTCTTTAAAATAAGTAGATGTTTCCTTTTTAAAAATATCAAAAATATAACTCGAATGCTCTCTGTGATGCCGCCATCAAAATCATCCCTGTGGTAATGCATTTTCTTCTTGTTATCATCGACGTAGGAAAAACGTGTACAAAAATCCTCCCTTTTCTCTGTATTGGTATTTGTAGCATACGCGATTTAGAAGCTGAGCGAAAGAAATTCACTTTGTTTAATTGCCATTATTATTTATGCTTGTACTTTTAATACTTGTAATTCATTCGACGTGTAAATCCGTCTATAAAATCAGTAATATCAGTAACGTGTTTAATTCTGTCAAAGATCATACTACACTAGATAGACAGCGCTGTATAAATTTTAGACTCTCATAATTCGTCTCGCCAAATAAATCGACTGCGTCCTCCAGCGGCTATGTTTTTATGAGAATAGTACAAACTACCTGGCGGGGTAAGAAGACGCGCGAAATGGCAAAGCACAGTTATTTTTAGAATAAAGGGCTACTGTATGGAATATCGGTGTCATTCCTAAGCGCAACCTTGTGTGGGTGTTATAGATGTTTTTATCTGGTTACCTTACTGTAAATTAAAATACCGAATATTCACATCTTGGTTTAAATTAAATTTTTTATCGTAACACAACGAAGTTGAGGTAAAGCTTATGTGCTCGTGTTTCCATCTGTCCGTCCGTCCGTCCATCCGTTCCATCGAGATCTCGGCCCCTGGGCCACCTAGAGACTTCGGGTTGTCGTTAATTGATAGCCGTTATGGTCTATATTTGCCCATTTCGATCAGTTTCCTATTTTCCATATTTTGCGCAGACTGCGCAATGCCAACTTTCATATTCATGGAGATATTTCTTTGAAATTTTAACCACAGACGCTTCTAGTTCCGACTCACTTTAGCTGGACACAATTTTATTATGTAGGAGGCTAAGCGGGATATCTTGTTTATCCCAATCATAAAATGCTTAATTACAACAAATCTAAATTAGATAAATGTGTGGTTACAATGTAAATATGCCTGGATAAGTAGGTGCATATTATCACAGATTTATGGTATATTTAAATCTGTGATATTATATTTGAAGATTTGCTAAAGTATCGTAGATACGTGAAACTAAAAGTTTTCAGAAATTATGCTAAGAAAAAAAGACGCTTTTGCAATTATTAATTTAATCCGAAAATCTGGAAAATGATTGGTTAGCGCTGGTTAAAAAAAAGCAAAGGGAATATTGTGTACAACTTTCAAATTATTTCTTTCATTGTAGTCCTGACTGTAAATAGAATCTACCTCGTATTGAATGAGCCCACTTACAAAATAATGTAATTTTATCCCAATGATGTTCAGTAGGTCATGTTTATGTGTCTCGTGTTTAGACAATAATCACTCTTTGTATTTATGATATGATTCGAACTCGTACGAAGACGGCTTCGGATGAATCAGTTACGTTCTTAACATTGAAAGCCCCCTATAAATATTTTTATGGAACTACTTAAACGCGAAACAACTCTTGCATATACGCTGGCTATCTAGTGTAGTATGATCTTTGATTCTGTATACGAAATTAAATAGGAACGTAGTAGATGGCGTACAAGACAGGTTTTAACAGGTGGGTATTTATTGATCAACTGAGGTAACATCATGATTCATGAGCATGTAACCTTTGTATTTGGAAATGTTACCCCCTGTCCTTCGGGGTTTCTCAAGCACTGTACGGTTCTTTTTATCACACCTCTAACTGATCTTCAATTTCAACTCACGTGTTTTTTCGATTCCACCCCCTTGCTTTCATCCGCCTTAATGTCAAGATGATTTGTTCCTGATGATCCTGAACGGCTAAGTCAATGTCAGTAAGAAGCGTTTCCAATAAGATTCTTAAGTCTTTCATTAAAAAATGTTTTAACATATCCGCCTTAATCAATACCGTCCTTCTATGATGACCATAAACTGTTATACCGAGTATTGAGTATTCTCAAATTGGACCAGTTCCGTAATCGGCCTATTATCCTCAAATCTGTTTCTTGTCTGATGACCCTAAAGCGAAATATCGTTTTTAATTGTCTCGTGATCTTCTGTCTCCTCTTTCGGTCATGAACCCGAACTCCGGCCCCCCCTGTCCCACCACAAAATAATTACAATTTTTTTACTGCTGATTCTGGGCTCCTGTGCTAAATGCCATTCTCGAGAGGTTTTACGAATCGATGTACATACATACATTTCTGTGGACTTCCTATGATTTGATTTCTTCATTTCTCTTGACCCCCTTACCTTACCCTCCCCCCTACAATATTTTACATATCCGCTTTAAAAAATATATAAATTTCGCATAATGCTAAGGATTCGAATTGGCCCTCTAAACTTTGTTCAAGTCTGTGAATCAGAGTAATGCCTAATTTTAAGTTCAAATTGAGCTTCCGCCAAAGCATTTGTATTCTTTACTCCAATGTATTGTATCAATATTTGGTTCAATTTTTAACTGGTTTCACTATGATCCCAAACCCACTATCGCAGCATGTTCACCTGAAACCTTTTAATTTTGGTTTTAACCACCCCCCTTCTGTCTTCCATCACTTTTATCACAATAGTTAATAATAATAGTTTATTGATCAATAGAAAAAAAACTAAAAACCAATAATAGATCAAATTCTTGAGAATTAAAATGAACATTAGAAAAAAATGTGAAATTATAGGTATGTTAAACTAGAACAGCCTAAACAAAAACAAAAATGCCAATTAAAAAATGTCCAAGATATCTTTCATATCGAGAGTTATGTTATCACATTTGTCACAAATACATATTTTGAATTTAACTTCACAATCAATCCAAAATTGTAAGTACTCCAAATTGGACCCCAAAATTCCTGTCCCAAACCGTTTATTATACCGATCATACTCAAAACTGTGGATTCATTTTGTGAAGTCCCTGAATTATTCTAGCGTATACCATTTTGCCGGTTAGCGCATTGTCCAATTATTGTCAAAATCGTTCTTTAGTAACTCCGAACTGCTGTCCCTACCTGTTTGTACTACGAGACACCGAATATATTTTTCTGAAGTTCAATAGATAGGAATTTGCACTCATTGCTATACGATGCAATATCATAACTATTGTGTTTGCGGAGACGCCATTTTAGACCCGGCTTCGCCTCGCATAGTCACACTATTTTTAAGTGCGACAGTGTCAGTCGCTCCTTCCAGATTTTCCAAAATTGTTAAGAATTTTGCGGCGCAACCCCAACTTTCTAGTCACCCGATGGCCAGCAACACCAACTTGATGAAAAATTGCAAGTGGTTAAATAACCTTTACATAAGTATACAACATTAAACAGCACTTGCGCATAAAATTTCCTGCAATAGGTTGTAATTAAATCAATACACTACGACGCGACGCTTCAAATATAACGAGGCTATCAACAACAAATGGTAACACGACGGAAAGCGGCAAAACTACAACGATTTAGAACATTTGCTCATATATACTTTTATTGTTTGTGCACCAGGTGCTAGATGCGTTTTGGTGCTGATTTGAATTAAAATAAAATTGTTGTTTCCTTCAGATCCGCTCTGCACGGACCGAATATAGAATCGGTTTATTTTTAGAATTGAAATTGGCCCTCCAGCTGCGATCTGCACGAACTGACTGAAGAATATATATCTTGTTTTCTTTCTTATATACAAATATTTTCTTCGGGATCTACCTTGCAGGGTTCAAACTTGAAAATTCACGCGCTTTGCGAGAACGAACAGCGCAGATTTGGCACTGTGTACGTCGCTGAACGAAAGCTGCCATTTTCACTCGTATTTATTGGTTCTCTTTTCTATCTGTCGACCTCATTAGTCATTTGCACCTTATTACTACGATGAATGGTATAAATACTTAACTCCGCGCTATTGTAAGCTTTTTGTCATTCAACCATGGGCATATTTAACTCTCTCTCCTTGCTCTTATGTTAATTGCAGTGACCCACTTCATTTACCTCATCCCGAATATACACACGTATAGCAGTGTAACTATTAAATTACTTTATTTACATCTGAATTAAAATTGCATTTCTATTCCATATCTCGAAATTAGTTTCTGCAATTACAGCGCCATTTGTTACCACGGCAAAAAAATGTTTCGAATAACTTCTTTACACGTTTTTGAGTAAAATATGGAATATGGAGAAATCGACCCCCCCCCCCTTGTGTAGTGCTGCCTTCCTACCCTCGTTGAATTCTAAAAGGTTTGGGGATGTATGTCGCAGTGGCGTGGTTGAAATCCGGGTTCGGGCATGGATATTTGCAAGGGTTACGTTGGTAAAACAGCTGAAACCCCACCCACTTAAAAAGAAAGTCCAAAAATAAAATAAATAAATAAAAATGGAGGGCAGTTCGACATCAATAATCAATCGTGGCATACCGAACACGTATATGTGCAGATCCGCAGACAATGAGTTGAATTGAAATTTTCAGAAATGGGTTACTTCATATAGGTACCTACGTGATATTCCCACAAAACAAAAAAAATGTCAATTCTGCA